TCAAAACTGTACATGACTCATTTGCCAAGAATCTGACGAAGGAACGCAAAAGACATCATTTTTATCGCGTAATTAGGCAGGATCGAACTTTTCGTAATCGCAGGAAGCAAGAACAATGGTGCTTTCCAGCAAGAAACAGTGTAAGGGTGCAAACATAATAGAAGGAATCAGGAATAACGATTTCAACCTATCAAAAATCGAATACACCAGAATACAGTTTCACGTAGTTTGAAATCGTTATTTCATATTTCTTCTACTGTATCTTCTTAACACAGTGATCATCTTTATGTAACATTTGTCAATAATAAGGATGCAATGATTCAATGTGTTAGGCCGGAATCAGATTATTAAAGATTGAAGATTGAAGATTAAAAGATTGAAATTTGATCAATCAAAATAGGAACTAAAATTCCTTGTCCTCATTAATCAAATTTCAATCTTCAATCTTCAATCTCAATTTTCAATGTGTAATCTGATTCCGGTCTTACACTGTGTCATTTGTGTCTCTTGCTGGAAAGCACCCTGTATCATATCCAGACAATCGCATCGTTCTACACAATTGCTTCTATCCAGAGGATCGCGAGTCCATAGGTCTGTTCGCATTGCTTGCACTTTTGCACTCAGCATCTTCGTATTACCTGTCTTCATTGCCCGAATATGTATTTATCTCATTTTAAGTGCAAAATATTTGGGGATTTCAAGCAACCTTAACAGATCTCATGTCGGACGGATTTTTTGCCATCCAATGATGGTAAGGACTATTCTACAAAAGCAAAAATCGATCGCACGAGTGACGACATCTAGAAAGTTGACGTATGCGTGTCACTCGTGAACAAGATATACAATTTGTATGTACAGTAAACAAGCTACGATCGACACAGCAAAGAGGGGAACAATTGGCACAGCGCGCGTCTAAGAATCTCGTAATCCGAAAAGAAACGTTGACTGGCTTCGCCGAAGGCATCGACCGCTCCGCGGTATCGGGAAGTGCTCCGATTGCGCTAATGGTAGGCCGCTTCAAGGTCGTAAGAAACACGCTTGAAAATCAACGAGATATTCCAAGGAAACGCCACTACCGATCTGTAACACGCAAATATCTGATGCTGCAAACCAGGAGAGTAAACAACTCGACTGTGGCATCCCTCTCGACGGAACTGTGTTCAGAAACTTCATCCCGGTGCCTTCACGTACTATTTAATCTTTGTAGTACCTTTGTAGTAAAAATCTCACTCTAAAGAGTGAAAATTGAGCTAACTCTGTTTCAAGACTGGCTCGATTTTCAATCTTTAAGAGTGAGATTTTAAAAGTTTTATGCCCGTTTCCATCAACATGGATTAACTTTAATCTCGGTTTAACTTACTCATCTTTTTCTAATTCTTAGACCTGGAAAAAGATGATGGGCAACCAAGATTAAAATTAATCTTGGTGGAAATAGGAATTAGAGACACATTTGGTGAACAAGGATAAAATGATACATAAGTGCACCCGGATAAAATTTCCGAAACGCAGTCTAAGAGATGGATAGATAGAGAATAACAGAAAGAGAGAGAGAGAGAGAGAGAGAGAGAGAGATTTAATGCGATGGAAATGGCATCGGCATCGGCGATCGATGATGGAGCCAGAGGTCTCGGGCTCGCTTCGCGCGTCCTCGATCGACAGGTAGACAGAAACAAACACACAGAAAGAGAGAGGAGAGAGCAAAGTCACAATGACAGCTGATCGTACATTATCGGAACTGTCTGTCAAAGTAGCTCACGCGTCGCCGTCGCCGTCACCGAGAGACGTCTCTCTCTCGGAGGAGGACGTTGCTGCGCGACGAACGACTGACGACGATTGTGACGCGAGGCCAGTTCGCGGAGAAAATCAATTCGCGTCTGGTGACGTGTGGCGTGCATATACATCGTCCACGGACGACAAGGTCCGGGCGCTCTTCGTTCTCTTTTTTTTTTTCTCCCTCACGCGCGCGCGACAGTCGCGCTCCGAGAAGAATCCCCCGATGACGACGACGGTGGCCGATGACAACGGTATTCGAAACGTCGCGGAGACGAGAACGTTGACGTCGGACGAGCGCGCGCTCGTCCGAGCGACTATCAACGTGATTCTCGTGCCCGACGGTTCGAACGAATGTATCAGATACCGTCGCGATATGCGGGATGACCGTTTGTTGTATATCGCGCACGGCCATTTTGCCAGAACCCGTCACTCGTCTGTGACCGCCGCCACCACCACCGCCACCGCCGCCGCCACCGCTTCTCTCTCGCCACCGGCCCTCGCTTTCGACGCCCCCCCTCGAGATTCCGCGCCCCCGGGGTTACCTTCGTATGTTTTGCAATCCGTAATCGAGCCCTTTGAGCGGATACTCACACCTGTTTCACGGAGCAGCGATAACCGTGGGACAGCTTGAGTCGGGAGCGACGAAGAAGATTTATCGCGTGAAAACCGGGACGACCGCCAACTATCGATGAACACCTCGGGATCACTTCTGCGATCGGACTGGCCCCCGCAAGGTGGCGTCTCGCGGCTGCGCATTTCCGACGCATGCGCGGCCCCCGCCGTCGCCGAGTTTCCACTGAATTTCGAACCGTTTGAGCGATGCTAGCGCAGTTTGACGATATTTCGCGGAACCACAATTTAATCATACGTTGATAATCACAACTCGGACGATAACATTAAAATCACAGTTTTAAATAAAAATCGTGTACTATTGAGTTTTAAATATATGAACGTGTCTACGAAATTAATAAATCATTAAATTAATACTGTGTTATCAGTTTCTTACTATTAAATTTTAATAAGGACGTAAACTTCCGTAAAATGTTTTTAATCTGGTCGGTGACCAATTACAATGTGATCCAATGGGATGCTTACTGATAAAAATCTGTTTCTCAAATCACCTATGAAGGTTAAATTTAATAAAAATATAACCTGTTCGCACGATCGTTATTTTAAATATTATTGAATTATTCATGTGAATTTGATGGCTTTTTCACAACCGAATGCAAGAGGTAATTCTAATGAGAACTCAATATTCTTCTTATTTTATATTTTACACATTTTTCATAATTCTCATTTTGCTCTTATTTATAGAATTGCAGAATAGAAAGATCTTAGAGGAGTTGCAGTTGAAGAAGCAGATGCTTCTGAAACAAGGAGTCGCACCAACCTTAAATACATTGGGAGTCTCGTCAACTGGCTCTGTATCAAATATAGTAAATATTCTTTGTCAACGATAATTAAAAGGATATTCTTACGTTTCATTTCTTTTTTTAGCTAAATTTCTTATACCATTTATCTTTCTTTTTTGTTTTTAACGTGAGGATGAAAGAAGAAAAAATAAACTTTGCAAGTTTAATTGTAAAAAAAAAACAGATCTTTAGATGTGCATATAATTTTTCTATAGGCTGCAACACAATCTAATGATGGAGTAGCAATGAGTGCGTCAGCAAGAGCAGCATTGCATAATGCACATGCGGCTTCGTTTGGTTATTTTGTTACACAGGACTCTTCCTTTGGGAATTTGATATTACCGGTTCTCCCTAGGTTTGATAATAAATGAGTCATCTCTTTTGAATGTATAAACGCATAGACAAAAATTACTAAAGACTATATGCCAACAACATTAAGAGAATCTTTTATATCAAGGGATTAGATTGCCTTTTTATAGAAATATTTGTTGTAACAAAAATCTGTTGAGAATCACAATCTTGAAATAGATAATGACTGGACTTCGACTTCGTCAATTAGAGGAATATCTACAGCAACTGGATGTGTTTGAAAACCCAAAAGTCACACTCGAACAGTATGCCACCAGTGCACATATTGCTGCACATTTGTTGTACACTGCACAGTCGCAGTTTGATGATATAAAAGGTAAAAGTGTGGCTGATCTGGGTTCTGGATGTGGTACATTATCGTTAGGTGCCAAGATGCTTGGTGCTGAATATGTAGTTGGATTTGAGATAGATTCTGAAGCAGTTGACATACAATACAGAAATTGCAGTGACATAGAACTTTTTGTTGAAGTCGTACAGTGTGATGTACTGCAATATTTACCAGGTAATTATATATATGTATGTCCCAGTCAAAATATTAACTTTAGTAAATGTATACATTAGGCTGAGACGTTGAGTGGCTTGCCGCTCAGTGCGATTGACTCACAATCTGTAAATCCGGATTTAATCCCACCTGTGCCCATACACGATTTTTCGCATTTTAAGGGACTCGACAGATAATGATTTATTGTCGAGTGTTTGAACTATTAATATCGTTTTTATACTCACTATAAAAAATTTTAATTCAATAACGGAGTAGGTGTGTAATCCCATGTTTTTTTCCGATTCAACGTTACATTAAATTGGCAAATTTGATGTACAACTTTCCATTAAGATTGGACACAGTCATCATAATGTGATCTTACTAGTAACTAATTGTTTTCGCGTCATTAATTTATTACTGAAGAGAACTCGAAACGAGGAGTCGAAACGTATACTACAATTGCTTAATAAAGCTTTGATTATATTACATCTTATATATCTTGTGTCATATCTTGGCTCATATTGGCATTTACATATCATTGGATTTAATCTTTTGGGCCTATTGTTATTACTTTTGTTACAAATATAAATATCTTATTGATTATATTTATTACAAATATGAAAATACATATGTATTATTTCATGTTACAGGAAAATTTGAAAAATATTTTGATACTGTTATAATGAATCCACCTTTTGGCACTAAAAACAACGCTGGCATTGACATAAAGTTCCTGGAAGCGGCAATCAGGCTTTCGTCCAATGCAGTTTATTCTCTGCATAAAAGCAGCACACGAGATTACGTTCTATCAAAGGCGACACAACTCGGCGCGAGAGGAGCAGTGATAGCCGAACTCAGATACGATTTGCCGAGGGCTTACAAATTCCACAAAAAAGCGTCTGTCGATATTCAGGTGGATTTTATACGATTTGAATTAAAGCGTTAATTCATTTTTCAAAAAACATGCCTGTTTTTTATTTATTCGAATTTGATGCCCTGAGCCAAAGGTAGCTCGTTTCCGTAATTGATCGTGACGGTGGCACGTCGCATGTAATGTTTCCACGCATCGCTTCCACTCTCACGGCCTCCGCCCGTGGCCTTTTCACCACCAAACGCGCCGCCTATCTCGGCACCGCTAGTACCGATGTTGACATTGACTATTCCACAATCTGATCCATGAGGGCCAATCCACTGTATGACGAATGGAATTCGATAAATAATATATTCCATTATACATTATATAAATTAATTGGTATTGTAACGCATTTGCCAACAGCATATGAGTTTTTACATATTTACCTGAAATACATTTCCAATACTTTTAGTAAAGAGACTACTGCTCAATCCTTGCTCAACTCCGTTGTTAAAATCGATAGCCTCCTCCAGAGAGTTTACTTCTAAGATGTAAACGATTGGAGCGAAAGTTTCCTGTTGCACTATCTCAGCTCCAGCCGGTAAACCCGAGATGATCGTTGGTTCGACATAGAAACCGGGTCGCTGTATTTGCTTTCCACCGAATTCTATCGTGCCACCGGCTTCTACAGCTTTCTGAATTGCTGCCTGCAGTGAAAAGTATTAGTCAAAAAGATTTTTTTTCTTTCATACATGCTAAAAGAAGAAGATAAATTTTCGTTTTATTTTGTTTAAAAGATAATTGATGCACATACTTTATATGCGTCAACTGCTGGCTGATTGTGCAACGGTCCATACAGCACACCATCATCCATTGGATCTCCGACTCGGTCCATTATGCTTTTATATGCCGTTTTTAATTTCCCTAAAAATTTTTATGTAATGATAACTAAACATTTTCTCATTTATATTTATACCTACCTATAAATTCGTCCTTTATCTTCTTATGCAATATTAATCTTCTGGTAGTGGTACATCTTTGTCCAGCTGTTCCAACGCACGAGAAGACTGCTGCTCTCACTGCCATTTCTAAATCAGCATCCTGTGCGACTGTTGATCAAGGAGAAATAATTACAAATACATTATCCATGGTATAGGCGACGTTACGAAATTGATATTTTAAGGAGACACGTACCAATTAATGCGTTGTTACCACCAAGCTCCAGCAGAGATCTTCCAAATCTTTCCTGAATCTTCAGAGCAACTTGTCTTCCTACGTTCGTACTTCCGGTGAACGAAATGAGAGGTACCCTAATGACAATCGTTATTAACCTGTTCAATACGACGTACATAATAATATAGTAAGTCTAGATCAGAACTGACCGTTTGTCGTTCACCAGAGTCTCTCCGACATCTGGTCCACCCGTGATCAAGGATGCGACGGAACCTGGGATACCATTGCGCTCCAAGACGCTCGCGATTATCTTGGTGGTCGCGATGGCTATCAAAGGTGTACTCGACGCCTCTTTCCAGACGACGGTGTTACCGCAGACCAAAGCGATAGCGCTGTTCCAGCCGTATACCTTAAAAGGCAATAAATTAAAATAAATTGTAAGCTCTTAAGTGGAATGATCACAAGATTCTCCGGGAATTATATTCACTGCTATAGGAAAATTGAATGCAGAGATAACGCCGATTACGCCCAAAGGATTCCACTTCTCCAGTAGCGCGTGGTTCTTTCTCTCCGATGGAAATATGCTACCGGGTAATGTTCGTGACAAGCCGACCGCATAATCACATATGTCGATAAATTCCTGGACCTCGCCTATGCCTTCTGGCAATATCTTGCCTATGGTATCATATATTTTGTGTTAATTATAAATGGATCTATATGGTATAGACATTCCGATTTACAATTACAGGTTGTTACAGCGAGTAAAATTGTAACGCTTACTGAAACGATTTAATTACCCATTTCTAAGGATACCAAGCGTCCCAACGGCTCCAAATGTCTTCTGAGCTCGTCCCCAATTTGCCGTACGATATCTCCCCTGGCTGGCATCGGTATGGATGCCCATTGTGGCCACGCTTTACGTGCTTCTGTTATAGCATTGCTAGCTTCTTGCGGCGTGGACTCGCGAACCTTTGCTATCACTTTACCGGTCGCCGGCGATATTGATTCTACTAACTATATTTGATATCAGTTTAATTATTTGTATTTATTTATTTTGTGGTATATCACTTAATGTTTCTTCATTTATAACGTAATTTATTTAAGATTCTCTCCGACTTCTATAATGTAATCATTCTATCTCGATAAGATTATTTATCTAAGACAAGATTAATGTCACATACCTTGCCAGATCCACCCCATCTCCCGTCATAGAGACCGGGATTTTCGACATTTATACCTAATTGTTTTAAAAATCCATACTTCGGATCGGTCACTAAGTGTCTCGTCATCTGGAATTGGGAAATATGGCAACCACCTTTTCGTAGTAATAAACGTGACATTGTCAATCGCTTGTTATTGACTAAGAGTACGAAGTCAATAAATAGCCTGGGTTATCAGAATGTTTCTGTTTATCGAGAGGAAGAGAGGGAGACGAGAAAGGTGATAAGAACACAAAAATATCTTAGCGCTGTATCTAAACACAGCAGTAATGATATAAATAAGTTGTACTATTAGCAACTTGAATCTTTGTGATAAAACACGTATTATTTTTTAGTGTTTATCCGTTTTATTAGAAATAAATATTTTTTGTAAAATTTGGAACAATAAATATAATTAAAAAATTTTTCTATCTGTAAAAAAACAGACGATTATAGACATATAAAAAGACGCGTTTTATTCGCAATAATAACATTTATAACATCACAAAAAGATGGTGCGGCAGTGGTATACACAGAATGGTAAATCTTTACAAAAGGTTTGTCTTTTTTCCGTTTCATTACAGTTAAATGTCTCTTGTATCGGTATCTAGAGGCACTCGTAGGAGAGATTCGGTGGAAATGTTGATTTCATTTAAATGCCACTGTAGAAGTCTTATGGAATAATTTCATTGTAAATATCGTTTCGAGTCGCAATTCGCTTTAACCTGGTCTACACAGCTGGTAACATCTTAAATCGGAAATGAGCTGGAGTACTGATCTAGTCAAAGTTGGTTGATCCTAAAAAAGAAGATATAAATTGTTTATATGATTTTAATGCGTGCTTATTTTTTATTATCGGACTATTAAGGATAATATACCGTGGATTTATCAAAGTTTTCCAATAAGGTGGCTCTCTGCATATCGTCTACGCCTTCACAAGTTGTCAAGAATGTTGGCAAAAAATGGCCAAAGAACCATCCTATGTTAACAGATGCTAGACTGTGAATAGCCGCAGCTATCTCGTCTGCCAACAAATTGTGAGATCTGTAAACAAGACATAAGTGAATATATTATTAATATAAGTTAATATCAGTAAAAAGAATATCGATACCCACTGTTGAAATAAAACTGTGAATAATGCCATCAAAAATCTTTCGAGAAGATGAACCTTGAATACAGCTCGTTGGTAAAGCCGCCATCTGATATTTAATTGTTCAAGGCTCTGCAAGCTCTGTCGGAATATATTGACATCTGACTGAAGTAGAGCTTGACCAAAAGCCTCCAAAATTGCTACCAATTCTTCTTTATGCTCGACAGGTTCATCTTCTTCAGGATGTCCAAGAGTCCGCAATACCGAAGTATTATAGAAATACTGCCATCGGTGCATAAGAATACTAAAAAGTAATATAAAGCTTGTGATTTTTAAATAAAAAAAGGATATGTATACTATCATACTACTTATATATATATATATAT